TCACCCCAAATGTAGTCGATCAGCCAAGTCATGTTTGCTTCTGCCTTTTGCACTGGGGTTATGAGGCTAATGCAGCTAAGAAGGAAAAAAATACGAATGACCACTAATTAGCATTGCAAATACTTAAAGTTGCAGTGTGTAAGATTTAGTGGCATCTAGTGGTGAGGTTGCAGATTGTGACCAACTGATTACCCCTCCCTTTCTAATCTTGTAGGTGGCCGTCAGGTTTTCTGCCTTTGCCTGTCCCGATTTTGTTTTGCTTCTTTCCCAGGCTTATTACATACTAAGCCTTATCATTCAGTAACTACAGGGACTTAAGTGCAAACTGGTTGAATGTTTCTTAGGTTATAGAAGTGTGTAATAAAACTCTGGGCCTAGGGTTAAAGCGGCAGGTTTTCATGTTTAAAAAGGAGAAGATTAATTATATGGTTTGCAGGATCCATTATCTTTCTCTGAATTGGCCAACAGTGCTCAAATATTGAGGTCTGTACTAAACAACTTAAGAAGCCAGTTTATTTTTTAATTATAATGTTTTCACCTATAGTTTTCTATGTGCTTCTAAATTTTCTGTTGCGCCACTGAGCCTTTAGTGTTGCACTTGTGCTACAGAATCTGCTAGGTGGCGTGAGCTGAAAATTTGGTGGACATAGCAACAGTAATTAAGGGAGAAGGTCAGTTGATGGGGTATAATTATACATTACTTGTTCGCTACTAAGCGTATAACAGTTTCAAAAATCAGAAAAGGTGAAAGTTATAAATAAACAGCGTATCAACATTTAAAACTGGATGACGAATACACTTCTTGGCAATTTTGTATCGTTTATAACTGGGTTGCAACGCGTATGATATAGAAAAAAAAGCTAATTAAAGCTCGATTGAACTCAAAACTGAGTATATCGTAACACCCCTCTTAGCTACATTAGCCCCGCAGCTAACGAAGCACCAGACACCAAACGTCTTGGCTGACTGACTACATTTGGGGAAAACCGTGAATGTATCATTTGAAAATTCTTCCGCTTTTATGAGAATACACCCTTGCTTTGATCTGGAAACACTAGAAGGATGGACTGATGAAATGTAGGATGGACTAATCCAAGGAAATCCAAAAGTCCAGGTCATCAGGCCACGCTTAGTTTCTATAGCCTGTCAGCCTGAAACCTAAGCAGCAGCTGTATTAGAAAAAGTTGGAAGAAGCACTTTTAGCAGGGAGATCACTGCAGAGATGAAGATGTGTGTGTATTGGTGTGCGTGGTGAGGCCTAGACAGCTGTTATGTAGGTCCTCGCTCTTCTTCCACTTGGCTGTAAAAGCTCATTTAAGCTTTTCTCCGCCATAACCGCCGCCGTCCTGCTCTGCTGTTTACTGCAGCCTCGGCATGAGCTGTGTGCATGACAGAGAGAGAGAGAGAGAGAGAGAATCAGAGAGAATAGAGAGAGAGAGAGAGAGAGAGAGATGCAGCCTACGCCGCTTACACTGGCTCATTACTCATATATCCGTACACACTTTGCCTCACACTTTGACAGATTAGTGTATTTACTGTGTTTGTGTGTGTTTATCTTTTTGAAGGAGCTTTCTTCCTCTGGTGGTATTGATAGGTCTGTAGTAGAGCAGCATCAGCTGTCTCCTGGTGTGTCCACCATACCGATGGAGCCTGCATACCGAGGTGTTTAACTTGCATCTTTAACATCTCTCATCTTGACTTGCCTCATTGAACTGTGCCTTTTAACAAGGGTTAACAAGTGTCGTAGGAGTTTGGACTCTTGTTAGGCTGTTAGGTTCGGCTTAATCCCACACTATCCTGAGCAAGAACCTAATTCCCATGTGATCTGATCCAATCCGATATGGCAAGAATGTAACACTGCGATACCTAAAGATATTTTCACAATAGTAGTGGGCATAAGGCCAAAAATGTATATCACAATGTAATTAAAAATTCTGAAGGTTCTGTTATACATCATAGTGCGTATATATATATATATATATATATATATATATATATATATATATATATATATATATATATACACAGTGGGGTGCGAAAGTTTGGGCAGCCTTGTTAATTTTCCTGATTTACCTTTATAAATCATTGATTGTTTGGATAAAAAAATTCTGTGAAATATATCATATAGGGGACAAACACAGTGATACTTGAGAAGTGAAACGAAGTTTATATGAATTACAGAAAGTGTGCAATAATTGTCTAAACAAAATTAGGCAGGTGCATAAATTTGGGCACCAAAAAAAAAACCTTAACTCAATATTTAGTAGATCCTCCTTTCGCAGAAATAACAGCCTCTAAACGCTTCCTATAGCTTCTAATGAGAGTCTGGATTGTGGCTGAAGGTATTTTAGACCATTCTTCTTTACAAAACATCTCTAGTTCATTCAGGTTTGATGGTTTCCGGGCATGGACAGCTCTCTTTAAGTGACACCACAGATTTTCAATAATATTCAGGTCTGGGGACTGAGATGGCCATTCCAGAACGTTGTACTTGTTCCTCTGCATGAATACCTTAGTAGATTTTGAGCAGTGTTTAGGGTCGTTGTCTTGTTGGAAGATCCAGCCCCGGCGCAGCTTCAGCTTTGTCACTGATTCCTGGACATTGATCTCCAGAATCTGCTGATATTGATTGGAATCCATGCGTCCCTCAACTTTAACAAGATTCCCAGTCCCTGTACTGGCCACACAGCCCCACAGCATGATGAAACCACCACCAAATTTTACTGTAGGTAGCAGGTGTTCTTCTTGGAGTGCTGTGTTCTTTTTCCTCCATGCATAACAACCCTTATTATGCCCAAATAACTCTATTTTAGTTTCATCAGTCCACAGCACCTTATTCCAAAATGAAGCTGGCTTGTCCAAATGTGCTTTAGCATACCTCAAGCGGCTCTGTTTGTGATGTGGGCGGAGAAAAGGCTTCCTCTGCATCACTCTCCCATACAGCATCTCCTTGTGCAAAGTGCGCCGAATAGTTGAACGATGCACAGTGACTCCATCAGCAGCAAGATCATGTTGTAGGTCTTTGGTGCTGGTCTGTGGGTTGACTCTGACTGTTCTCAACATCCTTCACTTCTGTTTATTCGAGATTTTTCTTGGTCTGCCACTTCGAGCCTTGACTTGAACTGTGCCTGTGGTCTTCCATTTTCTCACAATGTTTCTCACAGTGGAGACTGAAAGCTGAAATCTCTGAGATAGCTTTCTGTATCCTCCCCCTAAACCATGACGGTGAACAATCTTTGTTTTCAGGTCATTTGAAAGTTGTTTTGAGACTCCCATGCTGCGACTCTTCAGAGAAGATGCAAAGAGGAGAAAAACTTACAATTGCCCCCCTTAAATACCCTTTCTCATAATTGGAGTCACCTGTGTATGGAGGTCAAGGGTCAGTGAACTTACCAAACCAAATTTGAGTTCCAATAATTAGTTCTAAAGGTTTTGAAATCAATAAAATGACAACAGTGCCCAAATTTATGCACCTGCCTACTTTTGTTTAACCAGTTATTGCACACTTTCTGTAAATCATATAAACTTCATTTCACTTCTCAAATATCACTGTGTTTGTCCCCTATATGATATATTTCACGGAGTTTTTTTATCCAAACAATCAATGATTTATAAAGGTAAATCAGGAAAATTAACAAGGCTGCCCAAACTTTCGCACCCCACTGTATATATATATACATATATATATGTATACATACCCTCCTTGGACACAATTTACTCCAATAACTACACCAATAACAGCTACAACAGCAACAATGAGCATCCTTCTTACCTGGGAGTGTGACACGCTCCAAGAGCCACATTGCACGGCCACAACCCTAAGCTCCCCATGGTCGCATGGAACTTGTGGTGGCTACGTCGTTCCACTGGTGTTGCCAAATTTCAGCACAATTCACTCATTAAGATGTAAACAAAGTCATTCAGAGTCATTTGGTGTGAAATACTTTGTTTTAGAGAAATTACCAAGTCAGAATTGAAACAGTGGTGGTGATGGGAACCAGGCGGTTGAAGGGTTTAATGCCTCTAAAAGCTCCCTCACAGAAAGTTATGGGAGTACATGAAATGATTACAGTTAAGCTGCATGATGCCTCAGACATTGTTTGCAGTAGTTCTGAAAAAAGGGTTTTGGCTCTAAAGTGTATTTTTAAAATAGATTCATGGTGGAGAGATACATGCAGGATGCTGTAAGGCAAAATCTTTTTCGAACAAAACTTACTTTTTCAGATTTACCACTATTTTACCATCTTCAACATTACCTATAAAAAAGTCAGAAGACATGTAGGTTCACTGGTAACTCCTGTCTCCTATCACCACTGTAAAGGGGGCTATTAGCACTCAGATTGCTTTTTGTGAGAATCATTGAAAGAGAGGAAACCCACACCAGCAGGATCTCACAAATACATGTATGTCTGTAGCTGCAAATTTTACGTGTGAAGTTAAACAAAATGTTTGCGATTAGAACTTGCATATGATTTATCATCAAAACAATCGCTAGTTTACTCAATTACTAAAACAGTCATCTGCAAAAGTTTGCGCACCCCTGGTTAAACGACAATCTTTGTGGATAAGTTGACATCCTCTACACGAGAACACACTTCGGCACATTTTAATTTGCTGAATTTAACATATTGAGGAAAAAAATTATATAAGATGTGGCCTGTGCAAAAGTTATGGCACATTTAATATTTCATATTTTTTTTTCCCAATAAAAACATATCATTAAACCGGGGCTGTATATTCAAAAGCCCAGCGTACAATGCAGAATTGACATGAGGCTCTACAATTAGTTTAATGAACTGTGCAGCTGCATCGATATTTAGTGATGCAGTTTATTGTGATGATAACATATTGTTGCATTGCCCTCCCCTAGTTTCTGATATAATGTGCACAGCTGATTTGATGATATGAGATACGCTACTTTATCCGAGGATCTCAAAGTTGCTGTGTGTCTCATAACTTTTCCTCTCTCTGCTCTTTTTTCTTTTCCTTCCGTTCTCCAGAGGTGGTAGAGAAAATCGTGCCAGCCGCTCCAGTAGCCATCTTGCCGTCCAGCGCCCCCCAGGACATCTCGCCTACTCAGCTGGCAGGTAGGACCAACACATGGACATGACTTTAATTATTGAGATAGGGTGCCATGTTAATAATAGCTTTCATATCAGGTCTCTTACACATTTAAAGCCTTGTTATATGTAGAATTTCTGGATTGATATAAATACTCTTAAAGTATGATGAATGAAATGAAAAAAAAATCTATGCTGAATAATAAATTATTAAATATTTTTATGTGTTAATGTTATTCCCAGGAATCTACAAAAAAATGGCACAGGAGCATCCCTAAACATTAACACTCATTCAGAATGCAGTCTTATGAATGTCTTTGCTGTCTGAGCAAAACCTTGTATCTCCTTTTTTGTTGTTTTTCATGTTTTAACATAGTTTGAAAATAGCAGCTGTGACTTACATTGTGCTAAAAAATTTTGTCGAAAAGTCTAAATGAAACAAATAAGCTCCTGCTGTAACATTAATAATGAAAAAATTAGTGAAACCTTCAAATCATCACCCTTTAAATGCTAAACCGTAAGTTGAACAACAATTACTAAATGTTGAAAAGAGAGAAGGAAAGCAAACGAAAACACAGACTTACTTTGCTTTAAGCTTCAGCTCAGCTGTAGCTGCTTTTCTCAGGCAGGAAACTTTTCCACAAAAGTAGAACAGTTTCTTGTAAAATGTCTCTCAATGTTTGACTTTTTACAAGATTGAAGTCGCTTCTCATTCACCAGCTTCTTGCTTGAATTGTCCTGTTCCACTTTGAGTCGACAGAATGTACTTGCTGCGCCATTTAAGGTGGAATGAAAAAATTCAAATGAGAAACAGACTTCAGCTTAACGACGTTTTAGTGTTTGACAGTTTGTCGCTGCAGATTAAACGTATCAGGAAACCAGCCGAGGGCTTAGAAATGCAAAAAGTCCATTCGTCTCCAAATTATCAATGTCTGTCGTAAATCTCTCGTTTTGCCCTTTCGTTAGCTACTAGCTAGGCGAGATTATTGTTTGCATTGCTAGGGTGACCAGCAGTCTGCACACTAACATTTAGGGTCAACGGTTGGTGAATTAGCAGATCTATATTAACTCCAACATTTAAGACCGTTTATTGTTAAAACTGAGATCAGCAGAGCTTCATTTTACTGTAAAGCAGGATTATTTTATTTTCACCTAAGAATCTAATTCTGCTGTGGAGCCTCAACAGGGCTGTAAAAGAGCCCATGTTGCCGACCTCTGACCTAGTAAATAAACCATTTTAATGTGTCTAATTTGGGTTTGACTGAAAAAGAACAAGGCCTTAATAAACCCCCAGTATGTGTTTCTTAAATTAAAGTGTTATGTTGATTTACACACCCAGACACCGGCCTGCTATTATTATGGCCTCCCTTCCAGAAGTACATTTCAAATGCAGGAAAAAATGCAGAGCCTACACCAACTGACCACATCAATAAGCATACCTAACTTATATCTACAGCATTGTCCATTTTATCAGGTCAGTTAACTGTGGTCTTTGTAGCTCTGCAATTACAGACTGTAGTCTATTTGTTTATCTGCATGCTTTGTTAGCCCCTTTCAATGGTCAGGACCCCCACAGAGCAGGTATTATTTGGGTGGTGGATCAATCTTAGCACTGCAGTGACATTGACGTGGTAGTGGCATGTTAGTGCGTGTTGTGCCAGTGAGAGTGGATCAGACACAGCAGTGCTGCTGGAGTTTTTAAACACTGCGTCCACTCTATTAGACACTCCTATCTTGTTGGTCCACCTTGTAGACATAAAGTTAGAGACAGTAGCTCATCTGCTGCTGCACAGTTTGTGTTGGTCATCCTCTAGTCCTTCATCAGTGGTCACAGGACGCCTTTTAGCTGGATATTTTTGGTTGGTGGACTATTCTCAGACCAGCAGTGACACTGCTGTGTCTGATCTACTCGCACCAGCGCAACACACACTAACACACCACCACCACGTCAGTGTTACTGCAGTACTGAGAATGATCCACCCGCTCTGTGGGGGTCCTGACCATTGGAGAACAGGGTGAAAGGGGGCTAACAATGTATGCAGAGAAACAGGTGGACTACAGTCTGTAATTGTAGAACTAGAAAGTGGACCTATACGGTAAGTGGAGCTGATAAAATGGACAGTGATGGTAGATACAAGGTGTACGTAATAAAGTGACTGGTCAGTGTGTACACATCTGTCATCTCACATCCTCTTCCTCTCCTCCTCCATTTGCTGAAGAGCATTTGCATTCTTCTCTTCCTCGGAGTGTCCGCATGTTTCTCAGGTCAGGGGCAGAAATAGATGATAGAAATATGCTCAGTGAACGTGTCTGTCCCTAACGTCCTTGGGTCTGTCTGCCTCTCCATCTCTCTCACTCTTCCACCATCTATATTTACAGACTTTGTATCATCCGCAGAGACACTATGTACGGCCTTTAACGCGTCCTTTGAAATAGCTAGCATCATACTGCATGAAACATTCTCTAAAATAGCTAGCGTCAATCAGCATCGCTATGTGGAATCTCCCAAGCTGCTCCAATAAACAGGGTGTTTCCTTTTGGATGTGTCAATCTCCAGGAGGGTGGTGGGCGCTTAGCTTGTTTTAGCCCCTCGTTGCTGTGGTTATTCCTACCAGCAGGGTGCCATCTGCACCTCAGCATGCCGTAGCTAGGCAATACACACAGCTTGTTTTTATTTGGACACTGTCTGGATGGGGTAGGCATCCAAGGAGTCTTCCCCACTTTCGGAACGAGAGCATTTTGTCCGCTAGCTGTTAGTCTGCTGGGGGTGTGCTTGGAGCAAGCCATGCAAACCAATCAGGAAGCTGCGAAGATATTTCTGCTCAGTTGCACTAGGCAGATGTCCAAATGCCTCTCTCTCTCTGTCTCTCTCTGTCTCTCTGTCTCTCTCTCTCTCTCTCTCTCTCTCTGTGGAAGGTGACACCATATAAAACACCCACAGAAATGTAATGAGGATTGCCGATGACAGATGTTCAATAAACTAAACAGCATAATTGGCGTTTGCTGTGCCATCTTTATTTAACCATGCTTTCTCCCCACCGCTGAGCCGTATTAATGTCAGAACTGTTTGTTTATGGGCGACACATCTATCATAAATGTGCGCAAGTTTAACCATTTGGGATTTTGGCTATTTTTAGCTTTACAGTTGTATGCAAAAATTCAAACCGGTTGAGTTTCTGAGCAAAAATAAGCGGACACATCTTCTACCGGAAACAAAGTTAAATAAACGTAACATTTAGTGCACAATTCCTGTTTATTTGCTGAGTTTAACATAATAGAAACACTGAGTATAGAATGTGCCACATTTATGTTTTATTGCTGGTATCCCCAAATTATGTTAAACTCAGCAAATAACAGTAATTTACTGTTAACTAGAAAATGTCTTAACATATTTTCACTTAGAAAAGCAACAAAACATCTCATTTGACCAGGGTGCCCAAACTTTTTCACACAACTGTATTAGTAATTTAGTAATGTAGTGTGATCATATACATGCAATTTATAACAGTAAACTTTTTATTTTACTTCATATACATGAATATGAAGTATAATGTGTGTACTCATGAGATCCTGCTGGTGTGGGTTTCCTCCCTTTCAGTGATGCTCACAAAAATAGTGCTAATATCTCCCCCTTGTGTGTGATATTCAGACTGGCTTTAAGACCTGAAGATTCCCAGTTTATCCTTCAAACTGCATAGTAATCACTAAGCTGATTCATCAACAAAACATACATACATCATATGACTGTATTTTGACATGTAAGGGCCACAACCTAAAACAATTAGATTTTTGCTAAATAATTGTAAAATTATTTGAGCAAGATTAATCATTTTTTTGTACAAATGACCTACACATGTCTGCTGCAAATTAAAGTTACAACTTTGTTTCCAGCTCCTCCTGTTTATGAACAGTTTAGCTGAAATCAGAGTAAATGTGAATATCACAACTTACCCAATAGGTGGGGTTAATTGTAACAGATGGAGGGGCTGGTTGTAATATTTGCTAAAAGATCTGGTAAAGTGATGCGAACACAATTAATTCAGTATAATTCTATGTGGTTTGAACCAGATGACCTAAATACATAATGACCACATGATGACATAAAAACATGTCATGTAAATAAAATTTAGATCATTTCATTTTATTGTCCTGATACTTGCTCTTATACTTTGTAGTCAAAAGTAAATTTGCCAGTACTGGACACTGCCTCTTTTCATCTTAATTTTTATTTATGCATTTGTACATACATCTGGTATTTAAGTCATCATGTTGTCATTATGTATTTAGGTCTAGATGTATTTGGTGAAATGTAAGGTGCTACCCCACTGTTCCATTCATCAGTTTTACTGCTGTTTTCTGTCTGTGCAGTCAACAAAAATTCAAATCAAACCACATTGACAGGCACAACGTTATGTGTCCATTTTACCATCTTGGCTGTAAATCTGTCTCAGTGTGTGCTAATGTGCTGGAATAGGCTAACAAATTGAATATAAATGAAAACACACACTTACTTTGCTCTGCTTTAAGCTTTAGCTCAGCTATAGTCGGTGTTCTCGCATCTCTGACAGGAAACTTTTCCAATACTTTCATGTAAAATGTCTCTCAACTTGCGACTTTTTACAAGGCTGAAGTCGCTTCTCATTCGCCAGCTTCTTGTTCGAAATTTCCCGTTCCACCTCAAATGGTGCCTGAGTCGCCAGAATACAGTAGCTGTACCATTTAAGGTGAAATGGGAGAATTCGGCCGAGAAGCTGGCGAATGAGAAACTTCAGCTTCGTGACTTTTTAGTGTTTGACAGTTTCTCATTGCAAATTAAACGTATCAGGAAACCAGCTGGAGTGATTATAAACACAAATCAAAATCAATTTTTCTCCAAATTATCAATGTTTGTCTTAAATCTCTCTCTTTGCCTTTTCGTTAGCTACTAGCGAGGCGAGATTGTTGTCTGCATTGTTATGGTGACTAGCAGTCTGAGCACCAACCTTCAGGGTTAAAGGGTGAATTAGCAGTTCTACATTAACTCCAGCGTTTAAGACCATTTGTTGTTAGAACTGTTATTTTACTGCACTTTTTTTTAACTTATTTTTTACCTAAAAGTCTAGTTTTGCTGTAGGGGCAGTATGTTGCTGACCCCTGGCCTAGCACAATGAAAGAGTGGAAGGCTTTGTCACTGTTATATGAGTTATAGTCAGTATTATGCTCAATTCCCTGCCAGTTTCTCATATCAAACTGTTCAGAAATTGACAATGAATCATATCTCAGACTTTTTTCTCTCTTTCTTTCTCTCTGTAGAGGTGGACGAGTGTATAATTAGGCCTGATATTTGCGGCCAAGGCTTCTGCTACAATACACCAGAGAGTTACAACTGCATCTGCCATGAGGGCTACAGGCTGGACGATGAGGGCAGCACATGTATAGGTGAGAAACCACCACCCAGACTCAACTGCTGCATATCATGACAGAGTATTTCTTTTTTTATCTAAATTTGCATTCAACTTGTCTCCTGGGCAAAGTGTTCCTCTGCTTTTCTGTTCACCTTATTGATCTTTTAATTGATTGCTGTTGTTTGTGGTACAACCACTCGCTTACCCCATCGACTAAGCGGTCAGTTACCAATCAGTCAGACTTTTGACCTTGATTGTCGACAGACGTTGACGAGTGCGCGGACAGACCGGATCTATGCTCCAACGGTCGCTGTAAGAACACTCCTGGAAGCTTCCTGTGCGTGTGTAACCTTGGCTTCATTCCGGACGAGGAGGGCACCAGCTGCATCGGTAAGTCCACACACTCAGGGACAAAATGTGAACATGGTGCAAAAGTTAAAGAAATAGCTTGGTGAAAATCTAATTTAGAGAACAGTTAAGTTACAGAACAGTCTTTGCACTGGAGCATTGTGTTGTTAAAGGGTCACTTTGGCCAAAGTGCGATACAAACATACTTACTTGCTTTCTTTGGTGGTGCCAGTGGTTGAGATTGGGATTTTCCAGCTTAAAGACGAGGAAAACTCTATTCTGATGATGTTCACCGTTCAGGCATAACATTATGACCACCTCCTTGTTTCTATGCTCATTGTCCATTTTATCAGCTCCACTTACTATATAGGTGCACTTTGTAGTTCTACAGTTACAGACTGTAGTCCATCTGTTTCTCTGCATACTTTGTTAGCCCCCTTTTACCCTGTTCTTCAGTGGTCAGGACCCCATGGACCCTCACAGAGCAGGTACTATTTGGGTGGTGGATCATTCTCAGCACTGCAGTAACACTGACACTGGTGTGTTAGTGTGTGTTGTGCTGGTACGAGTTGGATCGGTGAGGGGGGGGTGGCCAGACTCCTCATAAACCAGCTCTGGTAATACTGAGCTAAAGGATGCTACATAGCACAACAAATAACATAGTAAACTCTTGGTTTAGGCTGGAGTAAACTTCCAAGACTGTCATCTATAACATTAGACAAACATGTCTTGGCTGGTTTGTGTACATTTTTCACCAAACTAACACTTTAATATAGAAATACGTGGAAAACTCTAGCTTTATTGTTGAAATATCAGCTGTCTTTACAACATTTGCATGAGATTGCTTTACGTAATCTCTTCACTAAGGCCTTTTTAAGTGAATCATATATGGAGGATAATTGATGGATTTTATAATCTGGAACTTAACTGAACAAGTTTCCAGTTCTTCGTTTAGCTAGGTAATGTCTCCATATAGAACTACTTGTTTTCCCTCATGGGCCATTCATTACCACTCCTTCTCTCTTGGCTCTAAGTGCCGTGTCCTGGGGATCTAGAGGAGGTCTATTTCTGGGCTGCTGGTCCTGCCCTCAGAATGCACTAAATGTAGCCGCCTGCCACTAGCTGGGTTAGCGGGTTAGCGGATGAGGGTTGGGAGCGGGATCATAATGAGTGTTGTCCCAGCTGTTGGCCGACCACAGGGAGTGTGGAAGTGTTTTCTTTTGGAAAATGCATTTTCACCACAGGTTAACGAATTCAGTTTTTTTTTGAAGACTCAGGAACAAATCTGTCCTGAAATAGCGCCGGCTCACGTGGTGTGATGTCATGTTGTTAGCTGTATATTTCTTCCTGTGGGGAAGTAGAGTGCCTTACTAGTGTGAGTAGGGTAGCCTCCTTTTAGATGCTCATCTTGGTCACTATTTATTTTGGTGGTCCCCTATAAATGATCTACGGATGCTATGAACAACATTAAGGTTGTGGCTATAGGTTTAGGAGAAGCCTTATAGTATCTATCACCCTCAATTTTAAGTTCAGTTGCATTTAATAGATATTTAGTTGAATGTTGGTTAAAGACAGACTGAGCATCTGCAAAAGCATCTACAGTGGACCATCAAAATAAAGTGTTACCTTTGCAGAAAAAAAATGCAATATTTAAGTTTGTTTAAACTTTTGCATACAGCTGTAGGACAGACTGGGTATCATGATGAGCCTCTTATCCTGGGAACCTGGGACCTTATTTGTATTTATCTGTAGTTTGCGATCTGAAATCTAGCAGATGATCTTTCAAGAACAGCATGAAATTATAACCAGTGTGGAAGCTAGTAGTGTATCCTGGAATGTAGCTCTTCTTTGTGTTTCCACTATTCTCCTTCTTTCCATCGCTCCATTTGACATCTGTTGAAGCAGAGACAGTGCAGCCCACCCAAGGCCAAAGGAAGCCCTGTATATTCTCTCTAGAGTTGATTTAATGAAAATTGCTCTTCTCTCTCTCTCTCTCTCTCTCTCTCTCTTCCACTCTCTCTATCTTCTCCCTTTGTTTGTTTTCTCTTGAAATTCTGTTTTATTTCTCTTTCTCATCCCCCCCTTTCTCTCTGTGTCTTCTTCTTTATCTCTCACCTTCTGCCTCTACCTCTCTCTCTCTCTCTCTCTCTCTCTCTCTCTCTCTCTGTCTCTCTGACAGATGTAGATGAATGTGAGGTTCCTCGTATGTGCCCTGAGAACAGTCTTTGTGTGAACACGCTGGGCTCCTACACCTGTCGTCACTGTGGCAGCGGCTACAGACTGGGCCAGAGCGGACAATGCGAAGGTATTGACCACTCACCACAGTGGCTACTTGCACCAGACTCATTTCGAATAGAATCACTTTAAGTACTTCTGTGGGATGAACTCCAACCAAATACAAAAAAATGCTATAAGAACTTTATATGAAGGGCTGTGCAAAAGTCAGGGACCACCCTTACATTCATTTAAGTACCAGTCAAAATGGCTATTAAGTACAAGTTACAAGTCAGGAAAAAAGCAGAAAACATATATTTAACAGAAAACTACACAGAAGCCTCAACAACTAAATACGATCTAATAAATATAATATATTAAAAATATATTAGCTTATAGATCAGTAGCTAGGCTAGCAGTCAGATTTGGTTGGCACCACAGGCATTCCCATTGGTTGTAGAATATAGGGGATGTGAGGCATGCTGGGAATTGTAGTGAGATAAACAAAAACATGGTGAATTCTGGCAAACCAGTGAGGCTGAGGGATGTAATACTGAGCTACAGAAGGCTACAAAGCACATATTAAACTCTAGTTTTAGGCCAGAGTTTTAGTTCTAGTTTTAGGCTTATGGTTTTTGAGACTGTATGAGATATTGTCATCCATAACACTGGACAAACATGTCTTGGCTGATTTATTCTGGATTATTATAGTACATAACAGTTACTTAACCAACCCAGATAGTTAAGAACTACATGATTTTACATGTGAACATCACAGTTGTTGCTGGTTGATTTAGGCTACGTTCACATTACCAGGTTGAAGTGGCACAAATCTGATTTGTTGCCCTAATGTGACTCAGCTCTGTTGTTTCCAGGGCTGTGTGAACACAAACCTGATCTTTTCAAATCCGATCTGAGCCACTTTCATATGTGGTCCTAGATCGGATACGTATCCTATTTGTTGCCGTGCGACCTTAATGTGACGCTCAGATCGGAATTCATGTGCTTTTTTCCCACTGTGCGTGCGCCATCATTCAGCGTTACCATGGCAGCAGCACCGAACAGAAGTTAAAGCCTGTAAATGGTGGAAAAGAAACACATCTCACCTTTTTCTCCTTTGTCTCGCTCTAATAATGAAGCTGAGAGCTGATCAGAGTTAATCATCTTCTCAGTGAAGCTCGTTCTGCTCGTTAGTTTGTGCTGATGATGAACGTGATTCATTCACGTGACGTTACTGAGTAGGATGTGTTCACGAGGGTCATTTCAGGACGCCGGTTCGTCACATTAATGACAGGTTTGAATCGCTTACCTAAACGAGTGTGAACTGTCGTATGAGAGAGATTTGAGCAATGAGACTTGTAATGTGAACGTAGCTTTAAAGTCCTGTTAATTCACCTGCAGATAGACTTGGGAGCCTACGATTTGACTGCTACTATCAGCTACAACGGTTTATTCCGTTTCTAAACTTACTAAAGGAACAACTGATGTCTAATACCTGACGCATATAGTGGGAGAAGACAAGCGGTCAGTCTTCATCATGTTTCCTGACATTGTATTCTCGCATAAGGGTAGTTCAAACATCTTAAACCCACATGGATCCTTATCATGAGGAAGTAAAGGAACTTTTTCCATGTTGGACCATTAATGATTGCTAACGGATGCTCTGGATGAACAGTTTGAAGTAACCGCCTGGGGGGCTGTTCATCAGAGCTCTGCTGCCAGAGTGTGTTTTTGCAGTTGAGGTGTTTTCTTTCAAACCACTTCATTTATAACAGTGTGCCATTGTGTCCAGAGACGGAGGGAATGGATGAGCTCCGCTCCGCCCAGGCCGCTCGTTTCACTCTCACCTCTCTGTGGGATAGCAATAACAGCCATCAATAAGGCCAGGCCTCTCTGCCAAATAACGAGCCACCTCGGCCAAAGAGTCATCCTGATGTTGCCAGATAGTGAGCTAGATGGATGAGACGGTGCTGTCAGACATTGATGCGAGCTTCCTTGCTTGCTTAGTCTTTTGTGTATTCTTCTCTTCCTGTGCTTCGTGTTTTAATTCACCTCTTTTCTGTCTGATTCTCTTTCTGTCTCTCCCTGTCCTGCTCTCTCTCTCTTTCCTCGTAGATGTGGACGAGTGTCAGAATGGAAGCGTGTGTCCCTCCGGTCTCTGCTATAACACTCTTGGCTCCTACATGTGCAGCCCGTGTCCTGAGGGATTCCAGGGCAAGGATGGCCAATGTGTAGGTAAGAGATTGAGCCTCAGTGTAGAGGTGCATGTTTGGAAAACATAGAGGAATGTTGTAGGTTGTATTTTCATATGCCGCTAAAGCCGTATCGTTGTTTTGTTGTTGGCTTCAGACTCATATTAGAAAAAACGGTAACACTTTCTATGAATGTCACCTTTGTAAGCATCTATAAACACATTTATAACATGTTATAATGTATTCATAAGGCATTATAAACATGGTTATAAATATTTATAAAAAAGAATTACACTGAATTACACTTTATAGCCATGTTTATTATACATTATGAATTGTTAATATAATGCATTATAAATAGTGTTAACAACATGTTATAATGTCAGTGCCAAAGAAGTCAGTCCCAGCTTGGAGAGCGTAAAGTAAAGACAAATACCAAGCTAACGGTGGTGAACATTACCTTTCCCACATTGGGTAAAACACTGATGGCAGCTCTAGTTTAAACTCTGACATTTGAAGCCTGTAATGTGCTTTAATGTGAATGTTTTAGTGTTTCAGTAAATCCTTCAGTAAATACTTCAACTTGAAGCCTCACTCTGAACACTGGAGGAGGCTTTAGTACAGTACGCTTCACTTTACTTAGAGCGGGCAAATACGACTTATGAGCTCTTATAATTTGTTATGAACAGTACTTATAATGTATTGTTAACAATTCATAATGCATAATAAACATGGCTATAATGTATAATGCATTTTTATAAATATTTATAGCTATGTTTATAATGTCTTATGAATGCATTATAACATGTTATGAATGTGTTTATAGATGCTTACAAAGGTGACATTCATAGAAATTGTTACCAAAAAAACTCTCTAAGCTGGATTTTTCAATGGCAAAAATGACTGGAATTTTTCAAAAATTGCCGCTATCACGCTTGCAGTTTTTCAAAAACTCCTCCTACCTTCAAAATATGTCATCAGCAGGTTTTCCTAGCCTTTAAACCAGAAAATCTCACCTTCGAGACTATAGTGGCACTACGGGAAGTTGTAAAATTGTGTACAAAGCTGTAGAATATGTAGAAATTTAAAATGTAATTATAATTAGAATATGTAATTATATGGACTATTCTGCCAGACAGTCAAAAAAACTATGAAAAAAATTATTTAGACCTTAGATATTATGTGGGGATTATATGAGGATTATGTTGGATTATGGTTATGTTACAATGATTATCCTATGGTAATATGAATTATGATTATCTTGCAAAGAATTATCATATAGTAGTAAGATAAATGACAGCATCCTCATTTCTACGATACTACGTTTCTGGCATAACCCCAACATTTCCATTTGTGAAAATAATAATAAACTTATATTTTTACAATTTTTTCAAAAGATCTTTTTGATTGCTTTTAAAGTGACCCTGCTTGTGACATATTTTGAAGGTAGGAGGTTAAAATGTTTATAATTTGAAATAAATGGGTCCCGGTGTCTGAGAATCAGTGTGAAACATTAAGAAACACATATTTTCTGCAGAGTTATGAGTTATGATTTCTTTTTTGTGCTTTAATTAAAATATTATGTATTTATGTGTGTGCAGCTGTTCAAGGCTGTGTTTGCTCGTCATGAAAGGCTAGCTTTTAAGTTCTGCTCAAATTTGTTAAAAATGTCACTGTTGAAACAGTCCCTACGGAAACATTTGGTGAAGTTTCAGTAGTGTTATGATTGTTTTGTTGGTGACAAAATGGAATGTTTAATCATTTGTTTTAATAAAATAAACTTTTGTTTTTAGAAAATAAAATAACTGAGGTATAGAAACGCTCAAGGCAAAAGTATTTTAATTGAAAGTCCAAGACAGTTCGGTACCGATTCAGAAGAATGATCCATATGTAGTATTTTTTACAGTTTGTAGCCTGACACATGACGAAATACCTAGCGCACCACATTTCAATATTCGGATTGGCTTTTGCTTGTAGAAATTCACTCCCATTTGCAGAATGTCTCAGTGTTTTCACTCTAGTCGCTTGCTTCCTTCCACTTTCGCTCAAACACACCTCTCTGCAGGACTGCCACCTGTCTCCATAGAAAGTGAAGGGAAGGCAAAATGAAAAGCGTTTTATTCCTCTGCAGATTCAGACCTTGAACTTTTGTATGTGTATATGTGTGGCCTTACCTTTATCTGTTTAATCTGCACTCCCTCATGGGGGCAGACATAATGGTCTTATTCCCCTCTGACTCCCCCGGTTCTATATGAGCTGACTCTGATGACCTCTGCTGCTCTGACCTGCTGAAAGATCATAAAACTTAAAGACCCAACATACACTGGAAATTCACACTGTTATGAGAACTATAAATCTTTTTCTGTGAGTGTAGCTAGCGCTAATATTTCAGATGGTGGCTGGGAGAGAATGGAAGAGTATGATGTGTTGGAGTTGTAGAAAGGTGGGTGCTAGGACACCCTCTTTGGCCACTTTATCAGAAACACCTCCTTTGTAGCTCCACCAAAGTGGTCTCTGTCAGCATCCCAACGTATCCTCATTTTGTCCCTTGTCCAATCTGTCCGCAGATATTGATGAGTGTCTGGACGGAACGGCCTGTGCCAATGGTCAGTGCTCCAACCATGAGGGCTACTTTGTGTGCGCATGCAATGAGGGCTTTGTTCTGGTTCGTGATGGCAAGGCCTGTACAGGTAACATCCTGCATTAATCTTGTAGGAAAACACATTAAAGAAATCCGAACTTTCTACGTAATAAAGTCATTGAGGTGTGAATAAAACAATGTATAGTGGTTTGGTGTGAAATAATTCATTGTACAGAAACTTATTGACTCAGATTTCCTTACAGTGGTGGTGATAGGAATCAGGGGTCATGATGTCTACAACACAAATATAGCCATTTTGTTTACTATCCAGAACCACCAATGAACCAGTGAAGTGGTTTTTTTGGGGACTGCTGTGTTGTACAATGTCCTGAATGTACTTATCCATCATTAATACGTATTAATACGTAACTGTTATAGCTCAAAATTTTATCTCAAAATGATCAGAAAACAGTGTCTCAGACATCATCCATCCTAAATACTGAATCTAATAACTTTCTGTGACATTAAATCCTTCAGATGTCTGGTTCCTGTCACCACTGTGAACAAGTCCAACCCAGTAACTTTCTCTGGAATGGAGTATTTCACATCAGACCACTCTGAAAGACTTTGTTTACATCTTAACCATTTGATTATGACATTTGGACAAATATATGGAATTTTCTTTTAAAGGGTCTATATTCTACATTTTCCTTGATGATTTTTGGGTCCAATTATAGTGGTCATGTGGTGTTTTATGTATCAAAAACAGTCATAATTCATTCACATGATCATTTTCCATCATCCCTTTATGTTTTATTAAATTATTAAATGGGCTGTTTTTGCGCCTGTGCATTTTAGTCTGAAATATGTCAAAAAGTAGTCTGAAATGTGCAGCATAAACTATTGGTTTGGGCTCAAGCAGGCCTATAGGGTAATCTAAGAGGATATCAGCGATGACAGACATGCTTCGAAAGTGATAGTTGCAGTGTTTGGAAACAGAACTGAGTGAACTAGAGATTAATTTAAAAATAAATAGCTTGCTAAATAATATTAAACGTGTGAACATGGACATGTAAACTTTTCACTGTTAAAACAGTGGATTATTATAGGGCATTAATAATCCATAGTGTCTCTGAAAAAAAAAGATGTAGTGTCTCTATGAAACAAACGGCATACTTCTGTAATGAGTATAACCACATGGGCTCAGGAATGCTTCAGAAAACCATTTTCAGTAAATAAAATTTGTTGCTGCATCAACACATGCAAATTAATACTCTACTATGCAAAGCAGCCGTATATCAACAACATCCAGAAACGCCGCCGACTTTTCTGGGCTAAAGCTCATCTGAGATGGACTGACGCAGAGTGGAAATATGTTCTTTGGCCTGACAAGTCCACCTTTCAGATTGTTTTTGGAAATAAAAAATGATGTGTTCTGTCCGAAGAGGAAATGGACCATCCTGATTGTTACTAATGCAAAGTTCAGAAGTCAGTGTCGATCATGGTATCGGGGTGTGTTAGTACCAGTGGCATCTGTGAAGGCATCATTAATGCTGAGGGGAGCCGACGCGTTTCAGACTAACACATGCTGCCATCTAGTCAGGATCTTTTTCAGGGCCGTCCCTGACAATGCCAAGCCACATTCTGCATGTGTTACAACAGTGTAGCTACATAGTAAGAGAATGGAGGTGCTAGACTGGCTTGCCTGCAGTCCAGACCTGCCTCCTGTTGAAAACGTGTGGCATGTTATGAAGCGCAATATATGACAGCCTGTTTAATTCTGAGAGGTAAAGAGGGGTTGGAAAATGGTCATATAAAAATGACTTGTGGCTGTTTTTGTGGACATTGGGAAAAAAAATACTAGAAAAACAGAGAATATGGGCCCATAAAGCAAGAAATATGAGCATGTTATGGGCCCTTTAAATCAGCATACAAATACCTTCTGCTGCATGAGCTTCATATGAGACCATTTTTGACCAGTAACTCCAGCTGATGAGAGAAGGAATACAGGAAGATAGATGTGCCTCTACTAGGTTGGATTGCATTTGAGACGGCGCAGATCTGTTATGAGTTGTGTGCAACATTCTGCTTGGCCTGTGGACTTGATTTTTAGTGGGTTTTTTTCAATCTCGAAAAGGAAGAGAGACATTTTTCTGTCTCGAAGCAGCGACGAATTTGTAGGAAAGTCACGTCTCAGACTGACTCGTTCGATTAAGCCTGAAGTTCCATCTTGTGATCCTGAAGTGCACTGGCGATGCTCACAGTGTCTGAGCATAAATCACTGGGAAATTTCTGGCGAGTTCTCACTCTCTATCAGTGGTTGTTTCTGGCTTGCTGAATCAATAGATGATATTTGGAATTCTGTACAGGAGCGTGTTTGAAGGATATGAAAGGGCCCATATCCTACATTTTTCTTGTATTTTCCTTTATTTCCCCCTTGAGGGCCATTTATGATATTTGTATAGTTTTATGTACAGAAAGAGACATAATTCATTTTTTCATGGCTATTTTCCAACTCAAATAAGAACTAAACAGGCTGCTTTTGTTACTGTGCCTTAAAGACTGACATATGTAGATGAGCTCTGTTCCCATTGGCTCTGTAATGTGCCTCATTCAAAAAGCAGTCTGGACTGCAAAAAGGTCTTATAACTTCAGTATGACTACACCCTTAAAAAAGATTCTTCAAGGGTTCTTTAGGTCCTATGTAGAAGCGTGAGCCCCATATAGAACCATTTCATGTTTAAATGATTCTGCAGGGTGAAATGGTTGTTCAGATTGGTTCTGTATATAACCATTTTCTAAAGAACCCTTGAAGAACCATTTTTTAAGAGTGCATGGTAAAATGGTTAATCAGATTATGTGTTTTAATGAATGTGTTTTAAATGGTTCTTTATATGGTTTTATAGAACCTTTTAAAATGGTTCTATATAGCAACAAAACGGGTTCTTCTATTGTTCCAAGCTTGACATTGTAACAATAGAAGAACCCTATTTGGTGCTTTATAGAATCATTTTCAGAAAGGTCCCATATAGAACCACATACAACACAATCAGAAGAACTATTTAAGCATGAAGTGGGTCTATATAGAACTCAGGGTTCTAAATAGAACCGTGTCCTTTACTAAAGTACCCTTGAAGAACCATCTTTTTTAAGAGTGTTGGCTGAATAGGTGGATAAACACAGATAAGGCATAACTTTATGACCACCTCCTTGTTTCTATGCTCACTGTCCATTTTATCAGCTCCACTTACTATATAGGTGCACTTTGTAGTTCTACAGTTACAGACTGTAGTCCATCTGTTTCTCTGATACTTTGTTAGCCCCCTTTTACCCTGTTCGTCAGTGGTCAGGACCCCCATGGACCCTCACAGAGCAGGTACTATTTGGGTGGTGGATCATTCTCAGCACTGCAGTGACACTGACGTGGTGGTGGTGTGTTATTGTGTGTTGCACTGGTCTGAGTGGATCAGGCACAGCAGCGCTGCTGAAGTTTGTAAACACCTCAGTGTCACTGCTGGACTGGGAATAGTCCACCAACCAAAATATTCAGCCAACAGCGTCCTGTGGGCAGCGTCCTGTGACCACTGATGAAGGACTAGAGGATGACCAACACAAACTGTGCAGCAGGAGATGAGCTATCGTCTCTGACTTCACATCTACAAGGTGGACTGACAAGGTAGGAGTGTCTAATAGAGTGGACAGTGAGTGGACACAGTGTTTAAAAACTCCAGCAGCACTGCTGTGTCTGATCCACTCGTACCAGCACAACACACACTAACACACCACCACCACGTCAGTGTTACTGCAGTGCTGAGAATGATCCACCACCCAAATAGCACCTGCTCTGTCCATGGGGGTCCTGATCACTGAAGAACAGGGTGAAGGGGGGCTAACAAAGTGTGCAGAGAAACAGATGGACTACAGTCTAACTGTAGAACTACAAAGTGCACTTATATAGTAAGTGGAGCTGATAAAATGGACAATGAGCCTAGAAACAAGGATCAGTCAAGGTCATAATGTTATGCCTGATCGGTGTAGGTAAATGTGTTGGTTTTTGTGACATCACAGAAACACAGACTTCAAAACAGGCAGCTTTTACATCTTAGTGTGTTTTGAAACATTAGCAGTGCAGCTCTCTTATTTCAAAAGACTAAAAGAAATTCAGAAACTCCTGTGATACGGCCCTTTCAGCATATGGAGGTGTATTTGTGCAGCGTACGTGTCAGTATATTTTGTAGTAATCATAAAGTATGACAGGAGCCTGAGGCGAATACTGTTTTGTAGCTTGATGAAGGTTCACAGTGAGGAGTGAGTTATGATGCTCTGTGTTTGAAATGTGTTAGTGAGACTGCACTGAATAGCAGTGGTGCTCTAACATTATGGCAGACGTATATCGAGCCAGAAGGAAAATAACAAAGAGAAAACGATGCGAATTTAACAGTATGTGTGTGTGTTTGTGTGTGTGTGTGTTGCAGATATTGACGAGTGTCAGGATGAAAGTGTGTGCACAAGGGGTCACTGTCAGAACACAGAGGGGTCATTCATCTGCAACTGTGAGACTGGCTTCAGGCTGGCTTCATCAGGGGAGCAATGTGACGGTATAGAACCTCACATCACACACAACATACAGACAGTCATATCTTACACAGTACACAGCGAACAGCAGAGGTCCTTAAATCTGAATCTTGAATCCAGTTTCCAGGTAGGAATACTAAAGTGCTAAATACTAAAATGTAGCCACAAACACACAAACATACACATCCTGCTCACCACTGTGTGGAATAAACACTAACATAGATCCAACACAGCAACAAACACTGATATAACACTGTGTATGTATTCGATACTGATAGCCTGTGTTGTTCATTTTTTAGATGTCGATGAATGTCAGGAGTTGTCAGGGCTGTGTGATGGTGTGGGTCAGTGTGTTAACAACATGGGCTCGTACCACTGCAACTGCCCACTAGGGTACAGGCAAGTCAACGGCACCAGCTGCCAAGGTGAGACCTTACACGCATACACTTGGCATTAAAATAGATGTCCTTATTTGCATTTAAAAGGCATATGTGTAACTGTGCATGTCATCGGATCTTGCTATCCTGATCTTGAGGAAGTTGACAAAGTAGGCTCACTCGATACTGATCCAATATATTTTCTTTTAAAACTACTAAGCTTTAAGTTAAACTGTTTTTAGCAAAGCGCTTTATTTAAGATGATTGTGTAAAAGTAGGTTATCATGCTCAAATTACTGTAATACTCTGCTACTTTCACTCTATCTTTTGAGTCACACAGGGTACATGTGTGCTATTTTAGGCTAGATTTGTGACAAAATTGAATCGGGGTCATTTTCATATACCCACAGATATCTGATCCAGCATTTTCAGCTGATAATGGCTCAAAACTAATATGCAATTTCTTTGTAAATCATGCATTGTGTTTGGATTGAACCACGTTCAGGGTCTAATTTCAACCACGTTCAGGGTCTAATGTGCTCCATCCATAGCTTACAATTTTGTTCCCATCCTTCTCGTTAAACAAGTTGTTTATAGTCTTCCGCATGCATATTCAAATGTAAACTTTCGAATGCAAATGTTGAAGCAAAACATACATAACATGCCATCTTTTCTTTCTCTGTAGCTTAAAATGCCTGGAATGCTCTGTATCACAATTGCAAAATGCTTTGATTGACAGTAGCCATTTTCTACAGACTTTCTAGTGGGCCTTCATTTTGCTGGCAATTTTTAAGTTTTCAATCAGAATATTTTCTTCCCTGTAGCTCTGCTATCAGATTAATTAGGACACTGTTGACTCTTTGTGTGTGAAATGTTGTGACTGGGTGTTGAGCTGCTAGCGAGCAATGAGGGTAAAAGGAGAGGGGTGAAAATAATCACACCAAAGACAGCTGCAACAGCACACTGTAGCTTTCTTGATAACAAATAATTGTGTAGCATTGCCACAATAAAAAACAGCATTTAAACACAATAAAATTACTTCAGATAAAGGTCGACATGCTTGTTAAGAAGATGAAAATCTAGTTTGCTTTATTTGTTTCCATTTAAATGTATTCCATCAACATTACTGAAGAACAAAAATGTGTAGTTTAAATCAGGGACCCCCTCATAAAAAAAGTTACTCAGCATACCCAGTATAGGCTATAGGCGTGATTACGGTTATTAGATGTTAATGCCAAGTGTAAACAGAGCTCGTCCCACTGTCTGTGCAGATGTGGATGAGTGCGTGGAAGAGAGTCACTTGCGACTGCACGGGGAGTGTGTGAACACAGAGGGCTCATTTCACTTCATCTGTGAGCCTGGATATGTGTGGACACAGGACCCGCCTGGCTGCGAAGGTAGGTACACACACAGCACAGAAATACAGTCGCACTTGTTGTTTTTGCCAAAAGAGAAAAACGGCCTACAGCTTAATTGTTGCAAGTGTCAAAATCTAAGCCTTTACAAGTGATTTAAATTGTAAAAGAAATGAGAAATAGTATTAAAACACTGACTGTTTCATTCACTTTCCGGTGTTGGTCATGGCTGTTTGACCAGTTCAAACTATTTGAGCAGCAGCGGATCAGCAGTTTCTATGGTCACGGTTTCTATGAAAGACATTAGACAGGTGATTTAGAAAAATGGTAACTATCAAAAGGGTATACAACATTCAAGAACGTCTACATTAAGTTTGATCTGACTTAAAGGAAATTTCCTTCAATACAAAAGATACCAAATTCACAAACAACAGTACCAAAGTGCACAAGATGACCAACCATTCACCGTTATCGAGGGTCTTGGATTTTGTGGCATATGTTATAGTCTATATAATTTTAGTGATTTTTTTTAAATGTAAGTAGTATAAACAAGTGTTTCCTGAATTTCGGTTTTGGTGAAGAATTTTTATTTTGGTACATCACTGATTAGAAGCTGTTTGTTCAGTTTTGGGAAACCCAAGTTTGAGAGAATATTCAACACAGTCATTAGTCAAAAAATAAAATGTTATTGGAAAAGCTCACACTGACTTGCATGTCTGATGCTCCACCAGCCATATCAACCTACAGGATCCATCACTACTAAGTGTTGCAGGACCTCATCACTTACAAATTAAGCCTTAGGTATAACACTACCACCTGACCTGTGGAACAGTAACCTGGAGTTGCAGACATTTACACTGTACAGATTTCTACATTTCCATGTATATCAATGAGCCAATACATTATGACCACTCACAGGTAAGGCAAATATTGTTGGTTATCTTGTAACATTGGTGCATGTCAAGGTCTTGTCATTGACATGCTGGATGCAGGAGAAATGGGCAGGCATGTAGACCTGAGTGACTTTGACAAGGGCCAAAATCGTTATATAGCCAGATAACTGGAGCAGAGCATCTCAGAAATGGCAAGGTCGGTAGGGTGCTTTCGGTCAGCAGTGGTGAGTACCTACTGACAGTGGTCTGAGGAAGCACAAACCACAACTAGCAACTAGTGTTAGCCGTCCAAGACTTGTTGATGTGCAAGGGCAATGAAGGCTGTTCGAACCAACAGAAGGACTCCTTTGGTACAGCGCAGAGAAATTTTAATGATGGTTACAGGAGAAATATGTCACAACATACAATGCTACGTCCTGCCGCATAGGGAGCTGTGTAGCTGTAAACTGGTCAGAGTGCCAATGCTAACCTCTGTCCGCTATTAAAAGCACTTACATTGGACACGTGAGCATTGGAACTGGACCTTGAAACAATAGAAGAAGGTCACTTGGTCCGATGAGTCCCGTTTCTTTTACATCACGTGGACAACTGAGTACATGTGTGCTGTTTCCCTGGGAAAGTGCTAGCGCCAGAATACACTGTGGGAAGAAGACAAGCTGGTGGAGGGAGTGTGATGCTCTGGGCTAATGTGCTGGAAAACCCTGGGTCCAGGAATTCATGTGGACACCTACCTTAACATTATGGGCCATGTACACCACTTCATGGCAATGGTATTCCTCAGTCTTTCAGCAAGATAATGGCCCCTGCCATGCTGCGCACATTGATCAGGAGTAATGTGTTCAAGGTGTTGCGCTGACCTCCAAATTCCCCACATCTTAACCCAATCAAGGGATGTCCTGAAACAAGAATTCCAATCCTCGGTGGCTCCACGTTGTAACTTACAGGGCTTACATGATCTGCTGCTAATGTCTTGGTGCACCACAGGGCACCTTCAGAGGTCTTGTAGAGTCCATGCCTCAGCCAGTCAGAGCCCTTTTGTCGGCACACGGAGGACCAACAGCATATTAGGCATGTGGTCATAATGTTTAGGCTTATCGGTGTATAGTCTTCCGTCGACGTGGCCCTTAATGTGTCACAGAATCAGCTGCTTGTGTCAGGATAGCCAGTGGTTCTATATCACATGCTCACATGAAAATGCTCACTCTGCGGTGAGAAATTCTAAAAGCTGCACCCAAACACATAGAGGTAGCAATATTTGGCAAATAGCTATGGCCATAGTTTTGCATTGTGCTTCTGATGCATATCTTTTTGTTCACGTGTAATCTGATTCGGCAGAAAAGCCGCACTCCCTGCTTCCATGTTTCCTCTCATCAGAGGGAGAGAAAGTAAAAGACAGAGAGCGTAAAGGTGTGTGTGGTGGGGGGAGGGGGTCCTAATGTCTTTCACATTCAGACTGCTGCAGTTTTTCCTCCAGTGGGGAGGGAGCCCTGCCAGTGTATGCTGTGCCAGAGTTGTTTGAAATGCCCTTTTCCTTCAGTAAAAAGAAAGAAGGAAGCTTTTCAGCTGACTGTCTAGACAAGGAGGAATATTTTAAACTGAGTGCTCCAGCCCGGTGGACTGCTCCACATCACTGCATTTGTGTCTGTGTGTGTTTACATTTCTTTGAGTGTTTGTGTCTGGGGGTGTGCTTGTATCTGTGTGCCATGTTTAAGTGTGTGTGTGTTTAGTTGTTGTAAACATGTCTCACTTCTGAAAGTTGCGGATAAAGGCACGAATAGATTGCAGTGGGATAAAATAGCCTTTACTGTGGATCAAAATTTTATCTGGGCTTAATATAACTCATACAGAACCATTAAAGTAAGCTTTGGGTGCACATCTTTAGTATCTGCCTAGGGTTGGGGTTAAAGATAGTATCAGTATCCTGGGCATCCTTCAACCTTTTTTGATAAAGATACAAATACCGATACCAAAACTGACACCTTGACTTCAATAAAGGTTACTGAATAAATTTAATTAATAATAACCCAAGGACATTTTAACTGCAAACAAATCACACACACACAAAGAGAAAGAAGTCTCCCAACATTGGTACAAAGTCCAAGGGTCGTGGCCCAGTCAAACTTTGCTTTCACGATGCAAGGTCCCTGTTTGTAGTGTAGTCAGACTCTGCTGTCATGGTGCAAAGTCCCTTGCTTGTGGCCTGGTTAAACTCTCCTGTCACACTGCAAAGTTCCCAGTTTGCAGCCTGGTCAAAACCCACTGTCGTAGTGCAAAGTCCCCAACTAGCAACCTGGTCAAAATCCCCTGTCGTGGTGCGAAGTCCCCAGCTCGCAGCCTGGTCAAACCCCACTGTCATGATGCAAAGTACCTGGCTTATGGTCTGGTCAGACTCAACTGTCATGATTCAAAGTCCCCAGCACATGGCCCAGTCAAACACTGCTGTCCCTGGTTTGCAGCCTGGTCAAACTCCACTGTCACTGTGGAAAGTCACTGACTCATAGCCCAGTCAAACTCTGCTACTACAATGAATAGTGACCCAGCTCTCAGCCTGGTCAAACTCTGTTATCAATTCTGGTCATCTCTGCTTTCACAATGCGACAGTCTCTTGGCAAATCATCAGTTGCTGATGGAAAAACTGTGGGGCCACCCAAACTCTCATTCAGTACCATAAAAGAATTGAATTTTCATACTCAGCCCTAATTATGTGTATATCAAACATAGATGTAAGCAATTTCTTGTTCTTGCATGCTGCTTCATAGATGTGGATGCATTCTCCGACGGCAGTAAATGTTTGTATGGGACTTAAATACAGTCTCTCCTGTCACAGTGCAGTGTATCCAGCCCATGGCTTGATCAAATTTCGCTGTCACAGCCCAGTTAAACTCCACTGTCACGCTGCAAAGTCCCTGGCTCGTGGTCCATTTAAAGTTTGTTTGAATAGTGACCCAGTGACCCAGCACTTGGCATACTCAGACTCTGCTGTCATGGTGCAAAGTCCTTAGATCGCAGCCTTGTCACACTCCACCACCAGCCAGTCCCTGGCTCATGGACTAGTCAATCTTTGTTGTCATGGTGCAAAGTCCCTGACTCATGGCCTAGTCAAACTCCACTGTTACAATACAAAGTTCCCAGTTCGTGGCCTAGTCAAACTCCACTGTTACAATACAAAGTTCCCAGTTCGTGGCCTAGTCAAACTCCACTCTTACGATGCAAAGTTCCCAGTTCGTGGCCTAGTCAGACTCCACTGTTACGATGCAAAGTTCCCAGTTCGTGGCCTAGTCAAACTCCACTGTCACGATACAAAGTTCCCAGTTCGTGGCCTAGTCAAACTCCACTCTTACGATACAAAGTACCCAGTTCGTGGCCTAGTCAAACTCCACTCTTACGATACGAAGTTCCCAGTTCCTGGCCTAGTCAAACTCCACTGTTACGATGCAAAGTTCCCAGTTCGTGGCCTAGTCAAACTCCACTGTTACGAAACAAAGTTCCCAGTTCGTGGCCTAGTCAGACTCCACTGTTACGATGCAAAGTACCCAGTTCGTGGCCTAGTCAAACTCCACTGTTACGATACAAAGTTCCCAGTTCGTGGCCTAGTCAAACTCCACTGTTACGATGCAAAGTTCCCAGTTCGTGGCCTAGTCAAACTCCACTGTTACGATGCAAAGTTCCCAGTTCGTGGCCTAGTCAACTCCACTGTTACGATACAAAGTTCCCAGTTCGTGGCCTAGTCAAACTCCACTGTTACGATGCAAAGTTCCCAGTTCGTGGCCTAGTCAAACTCCACTGTTACGAAACAAAGTTCCCAGTTCGTGGCCTAGTCAGACTCCACTGTTACGATGCAAAGTACCCAGTTCGTGGCCTAGTCAAACTCCACTGTACGATACAAAGTTCCCAGTTCGTGGCCTAGTCAAACTCCACTGTTACGATGCAAAGTTCCCAGTTCGTGGCCTAGTCAAACTCCACTGTCACGATACAAAGTTCCCAGTTCGTGGTCTAGTCAAACTCCACTCTTACGATACAAAGTTCCCAGTTCGTGGCCTAGTCAAACTCCACTCTTACGATGCAAAGTTCCCAGTTCGTGGCCTAGTCAAACTCCACTGTCATGATGCAAAGTCGCTATCTTGCCTCCCAATTAAACTCTGCTACTGTGGTGAATAGTGATCCCAGCTCAGAGCCTAGTCAAACTCAATCACCACAGTGCAAAGTCCTCGGTTCCGGCCTACTCACTCTGCTTTCACACTGTTGGCGAGTCTCTTAGCGAGTTTTCAGCCGATCATGGAAAACCTCCGGGGGCATCCCAAACAGATTTGTTCAGTACCATAAAAGTATTGACTTTTGATACCGAGTCATAATCATGCCTTTCACATTAGTATAAGCGATTTCTTTTTCTTACCTACTTTTTCACAGATGTTGATGAATGCTCCAACAGCAGTAAATGTTTGAACAGCACTTGCTTAAATACAGAAGGCTCGTTTCAGTGCCAGTGTGATGGAGGCTATCGCATGGACCCGGCCAGTCGCTCCTGCCAGGGTAAAAAGGAAAGAACCCAATTCGTTTACTTTCGTTACCCTATCCTAGCAACTGTTTGGTGATTGGTTAACTGCTGATTGGTTTGTGTGTATCAAGCAGTTCATGCTGATTGGCTGCTTGTGCCATTTGCCAGATATCGATGAATGTGCTGAGTTTGGGGCAGAGCATTTGTGGGGCGTGGCAGTGCAACAACACACCTGGATCCTACGAGTGTGTGGTACCCTGCCCAGCAGGCCACACCCGAAACACACACGGATCGTGTGTGGGTGAGTCAGCATGACCGCCACGTATCGTCATTATCTTCTGTCCATCTTTCTGCTGTGTATGTTGAAGGGCTGTCCCCAACTAAAAGATTTCTTAGGCTGGTTTTTGAACAAAAGCCAGCTAATCAATAAATACATCAAATAGTTTCGGAAAATAATGGACTGCAGAGTTTAAACATAGTTTGCAGCTTCAACGGACATTTTTGTTTGATTATACACTATGGGCATTATTCATAAAACACACCTGATTTCGTGTTATGTTAGGAGCATCGCTGTAACACATTTGCTCGTTCATAAACAAGGATTACTGCCGTCTTTTAATGTGTGATATGTGGCACTAAAACTCTTTTTCCTCATTTGCAAGTCATAAGCGATTTATAACACAACACCGTTCCCCCCAAAATAGCACCTAAGCTAGTCTCACAGTAGATTTCCCGGTAAGAAGCCAATGTGGATCAAATTATCTTTGCTGTAATGTTTTCAAACGTGTTTAGTCACATCAGCAAATTATACATATAAGCTCACTATATGTTTGTATTAAACATTAAGGCAAATATGAGAATGATAACCTTCTTGAGAAAGATTTCAGAGCATTTTAATACAGTACTGCAGCAGATTTGAACATGGTTTAGCCAATCAGATCCGAGGATTTGAATTCCCCGTTCATTTGAAGGTATTTTAGTAAAACATCCAGCCAAGTTCAGAACAGTGTAATAAAACTATGTATAGCTATGCTAATTTGTCTGTGTGAGGAATAGTACCACACTACACACCACCAAACGAAAAAAACTTTACATTTATCTTTGTAAACATTTATTCTTTACTTTTATATACTCAAGTATGTTTAAATACCAATCCCTGTTACTTTCATTCAAGTGTATTTATGAATAAAAGTCTGATAAAGTACCCATACCTTCACTTAAGCACAGTTTCCACACTTGGCTATAATAAATCATATTAATATTCAATATATTGTGTCTACATTGTTTGGCCAAAATAAAATTTGTCACTTGCGCAGTTTTTAACTTTTTAAAAAGGCTTTCAAATAAAAAAATAAAAAATGAATCATACCAAAATAATCAAATTGTCCCAAATCATGATGAAATTTTAGGGCATATATCATTTCTTGAAGGATTGATGATTATGAGGCCCCTTCATGTTAACTGTAATTCAGTTTTAACAAACAAATAAATAAATAATAATCGTAGGTGGCCAAAAATCTATGATTAGTTAGTCATCTCGTCGAGTTAAAGGGTGCAGCCCTAGTCTGTCGAAGGGGTGTCCTAAGCATGTGTCATTATTGTGCATCTTTTTAAGCTTTGGGCCTTTTGGAGTTAAATCTGTGTGGCTTGGTCCTGCTGCTTCAGTCTAGCTGCTTCAGTCCAGCGCTTCATTTCAGTGCTTCAGTCCAACTGCTTCAGTCTAGTTGCTTTTATCTAGCTGCTTCAGTTCAGTGCTTCAGTTAAGCGCTTCAGTCCAGATGATCTGGTCCAGCTGCTTCAGTCCAGTTGCTTAAGTCCAGCTGCTTCAATCCAGTGCTTCAGTGCAGTGCTTCAGTCCAGTGTTTCAGTCTGGTGCTTCAGTTTGGTGATTCAGTCCAGTGCTTCAGTGCAGTGCTTCAGTCCAGTGTTTCAGTCTGGTGATTCAGTCCAGTGTGTCAGTCCAGTACTTCAGTTCAATGCTGTAGTTTGTGCTTCAGTCCAGTACTTCAGTCCAGTATTTTAATCTGTCTGCTTCAGTTCAGTGCTTCAGTCCAGTGCTTCAGTTCGGTGCTTCAGTCCGGTACTTCAGTATGTGCTTCAGTTCGGTGCCTTGGTTCATACTTCAGTCCAGTGCTTCAGTCCAGTGCTTCAGTCAGGCTGCTTTAGTTCAGTACCTCAGTTCAGTGCTTCAGTCCAGTTGCTTCAGTCCAGCTGCTTAATTTCCTTCGGGATCAATAAAGTATCTCAACAAAGTATGCAGAGAAACAGATGGACTACAGTCTGTAACTGTAGAACTACAAAGTGCACCTATATAGTAAGTGGAGCTGATAAAATGGACAATGAGCGTAGAAACACGGAGGTGGTCATAATGTTATGCCTGATCGGTGTATATCTCTGTGATTTCTCTTGAAAACATTTTCATGTTTATTTTTTACAAAGTTTCCACACTTTTGGCCTGTAGTGAAGGTCTACACTTCCACTTATATAGCATAGAGGAATGCAAATGTGAGTTAATACTTTGTCTCCTTTCCTCTAGATGTGGACGAGTGCGCTCTAAACAGGAGTGTGTGTCGAGGGCATGGAGTGTGTCAGAACACAGTGGGCTCGTTCATGTGCCAGTGTGACCCGGGCTACCAGGACACTGATGGTCAGGGCTGTGTGGGTGAGTGAAGTTGGAAGCAATGTGTCACTATAATTACACGGCTGACCTTCTGGGTATTATAAGAGCAGTATTTCTATTATTAATATTATGTGCACATACACATTATAATAACACCAACCTTGTACTTCCACTTTATGAGGTCCACCTACCTTATAGGTTTTGTTATATAGGTGTTCCATTACGGTCTGTAGTCCATCTATTGCTGGACAATTTGTCAGTATTGCCTGTGCCATTCATCAGTGGTCAGTTTCTGACTACAGGACCAGTGTTCACTAGATCTTTTTGGTCAGAAGCTTGAATCATCAAATTTATTCCATGTTTGAGTGTAACTGTTACTGTGTTACTATTACACCAAAGGAGGATTCCACCAATTTTTCTAGATTTCTGTAAAATTCAACTGTTGAAATGTGAACCGTTATTGAGAGTGGGTTGATCTGAAATGGTTAATTGTAGAAAAACTTCCCAACTTGGATTTACTGATTTCTTTACAGTGGTGGCAGCAGAAACCAGGGGTATAGCCAAATATAGCAATTTTATTTACTCTCCAAAGCCACCAGTGAACCTACACGTCTTCTGTGCTTTTATATGTAATGATGATAAAGGTAAATTAGTCATAAATCTGAAAAATAAGTTTTCTTTGGGGACTATTTTGTCTTACAACGCCCTGCATGTACCCCTTCACCATCAGTGACTAAAATAAGAAAACGTGTGTGCCATGCACCCGTCCATAAGGCTCCGATGACAGCCGCGAGAGGCACGAAGGCGGGACAAAGGCTCATTGCTCCACCTCCCCGTCACTGCCCCCGCTCTGCATTTCGGCCACCTGGCTCAAACGTAAGGTGTAGTCTAGCAGCCTCGATGCAGAGCAAGAGGTGGGACCTGGGCAGCGGAGCTTCGTGCCTCTTGCAGCTGTCGTTGTCACCCCCACTCTCTGTCGGATGACGTCCTCCTCCCGCCGTTACTTGTGTCCCTCAGCGGTGTTTGGGATTCAGCCCCCGCCTTCCTGCCGGCTCTTGTGGCTGTCAGCAGGGCCCGGGGGACGGGTGCATGGCACACATGTGTTTTAGGCAAAAATATATCTCAAAACTGTCATAAAACAATGTCTCAGACATCAGGCAGAGTATTCAGAACTCTGTCAGGTAATAGCTTCCTGTGAGGTAGCTTTCAGAGACATTAAACGTTTCAGATGTCTGGTTTCTTCTGTCCTCACTGTGAACAGTTCTGACTGTCAGGTTCTCTAGAATTGAGCATTTCACATCAAACCTCTCTGAATGACTTTGTTCATCTTAACAATATAATTATGCAGAAATTTTCTCTTTAAGTAACTGTGTAATTACACTTAAATAGTTACGTAATGTAAATTGAATGTACAGTATCCATTCTTCATTTATTTCATTTCCAAAGTTACCCATTTTCAGTAGGAAGCATATATTAAGAGTATATTCTATGGAAGCCTGTTCAACTACATTTAAAATCATTTTTGCAGTATTTAGTATGTCCAACCTTTGCCTTTACTACAGCTTCCATTCTTTTCAGGACACTCACGTTCAATTTGTTAAAGAAACCTGCAGGTATTTTTTTCCACACCTCCAAAGTTCAGTAATCCCAAACACATTCAGTGATGTTGAGGTGTGGACTCAACTGGACTAAGGTGGTCAGTCCATTGTTCTGAGAACACCAGGGAAATAAAGGAATGTCTTAGAATTTTTACAGTACTGTAAATCTGTTTAATTATGTAATTAATTATCTAATATAAAATGAATGTAGAGAACAACGACAGTAAAAACGTCTTAGACAGAATGGAAATCTGAAACTACTATCTCTTCTGTATGTGGGGCTCGTTTGGGGCAGGTAGTTGAGACCAGTGTTTTAAAGGAAGTCCAACTCTGCACTAGAAACACACAGGGCTCTTTTTCCTGCACTTTCCTTGCAGGCAACGTTAAAAAAAGAAGGTAGATGCCTCGCCAGGTCCGTGATTGATGGGGCCGTTTATTTTCGTCCAATGCGAAGGTGTACCGCATGCGCTTGCTAATGTTTTAAACATCCTCGGCCTGGACCTGCCCAGCCTGCAAGAGCAGGAGGAGGGCGAACGCGCCAAGGCTTGGAGCCCTCACACACACATGCATACTCTACCAATAATGAGGCCACAATGTAGCCACACGTTCCTCTCTGTTTCCCTTCACCGAGGAGGTAGGAGTGAAAAAGTCCACTCTGGTTATTCCTATTTCTTGCCTGGAGTGTGTTTAGTTAACAGGGTAATGCTAATTTCTGCTAGCACTCCTAAGAGATTGCTCATACTATGTTTACATTTAGGGCATTTGGCTGATGCTCTGGATAAGAGCGACAAACAGTTTGATCATTTTACACAGGTAGGCGAAGGTAGTGTTAAGAGACTCTTATTGGTATGGTGTTAGGGTGCTTACCCAGGCGGGGATTGAACCCCAGTCTACACCATAGAAGGCGGAGGTGTTCCCCACTACACTATACCAACCAGCACTAAGCTATTTTTTATGTAACAGACATGAAGATATATTTTATGTATATCTATATATTTTGCATATTGCAGTTTTACACTGACTTTCAGTATTTCAGTATACTATCTCAAGTTCTAGACTGTACGAGACGAGTGCACCTATTATCTCATGTACCGACACAGTAAAGGTCTCCCTGACTCCTTTGGAATTTTAAATAATTCCCCGTAGGTGAGCTTTCTTTTTATTTCGTCCATAGTGAACAGCTAGTAAGAGCGGCTTTGTTGTACACAGCGCAGGAGAGAAAATGTGTGAGAGTGCTTTGTGTGTTTCTTGCAGACTTTTTTCAGCACTAATCATTTTTGTTTTGTCTCTTTTTTTCCCTCCCCTTTTTGTTTTGTCTCCTTTTTTGAGGGAGAAGTTAGGAAAGTGTCAGGACCAAAGGCTATCCCCCTTCAACCCCAGGCCTCCAACATAATATTATGAATAATGAAGAAATCTTTTAATACTGGCTAAACACTTTCACTAATAACCGTTTTAAGTCTAAGTTCTCAAAAGAGAACTTTGTGGAAGAGTGGAAAAGACTCTTTATTTCAGCGTCAGGTGGCACAGGGTCTCGAGAGACCCAACTGAGCAAATACAGTGTTCCAAACAACAGTTTATATACCATTTATCTGGGGTAATTTGATATCCCCCCCTGCCTTACTTCTCAAATTTTGATATTAGCTTATTCTCTAATAGGTGCATCTTCTCGTCCATCAATTTGGCCATTGCATGTTGAGCTCACTCCTAAAAACTGGTTTCAGCGGGTTTTTACCAGTCTGCTTTACCCTTCAAGGTCAACTTGTCCCTCTCTTCACTGGGTCAGTGAGTACACACAGGCCTGTCTTTGAACCCAGGGGCTTTCTAGTGTCTAGAATCTCCTGTGCAGACAGACTAAGGCCGACCCTTTGTGAGAGAATTAATATTCTCTGTTAGCCAATATGACCTATTTGGTTATTGATTGCAATATCTAATCTATTTGATTACTGATTAAGGGAACATTTATTCAAAATCTCTGTCAAACCTTCACAGAATTTTCAGAAAATCTGAATAATTAGATCATTAAGATGTTAACAAAGTAATTCAGAGTGGTTTGATGTGAAACGCTCTGTTCTAGAGAAAAAGTCAGAATTGTACCAAGTAATGATGATAGGAACCAGATGTCTGAAGAGTTTCTACATCTCTAAAATATGTTGCCTGATGTCAGAGACATTGTTTTCCAATAGTTTTGCAATAATCTTTCGACCTAAAATGGATACATGGAGGGTGTTGTAAGGCAAAGTAGTCCCCAAAGAAAATATTTTCAGATTCACCATTATAAACATTGCATATAAAACACAGAAGACAAAGGTTCACTGGTCGTTTTGGACAGTAAATAAAATGACTGTATTTTCAGTGTAGACACTCTGACCACTGGTTCCTGTCACCACTATTGTAAGGAAACATGAGTCAGTAAGTTTCTTGACAGTTTAACTATTTCACCCCACCACTCTGAATGGCTTTGCTTACTTCTCAACAACTGGGATGTTAAGAATCCAGTTTTGAAATTTGAAATAGCATCATTTTTATATTCTTCTCTCTTTGTTATTACTGTACTGTGCTGAGAAGGCCAGAGTGTCATGGCTGTTACTGCTGCCTGTATTATGTTGATGTTGCTTCTGGACTTTCTCCATAGGTGGAATGAGGTTCAGGACATTGGTCCAAGCGATGATCAGCCATGACACTTCCAGCCAAACTACTAAAGCAATCACTCTGATATTCTGATATTTATCCCAGATAGAGAGAGAGAGAGAGAGAGAGAGAGATGGTCTGAGTGAAAGAGGAGAAGGCTAGGACTGAGAAAGCTACTTTCAGGTAATCAGGCACAGAATGGTACGTGCACTCAGAGGCCGTATTGGAGGGTCGTTTGTCTTAGTGCTTTGTGTAACTGGTCCCATGCAGTCTCCATCAGTCCTAATTTCCCGCAGCAGAAAGTCCTGTCACAACTCCGAGCGCTCACTCCTGAGGTTCAAACTACACTTTCTACAAGAAGCCAAAACACACACAGGCTCAAAGGCACACACACACACCTGCACCATTTGCAGTTCTGGTGTAATCAACACAGATGAATGTTTAACCCTCTCTTTATTCGTCCCTCCCTCTCTCTTTCCATCACCATTCCATCTCCACTCGCATTCTCATAACTTTTATCTCCATCTCCATTTCCATCTCCATCCACTCCCTCCATCCATCCTCTCTGTCTTCTGTCTGAGCTTAGTTTTCAAGTTTCTCACTCAAACAGCCCAAATCTTTTCTTTTTTCACTGAGGTCCACGAATACCTTTCGTGTAGTTTTATATACCAAAATTGGTCATAATTCATCCTTTCATGACCATTTTCTGACCACTGTTTATCTTTGTTATATAAGATAAATGTGCTCTGTTCTCATGGATGCCCCATATTGTGCTTCATTTAGAAAACCCTCAGGTGAAATACTCCTTATAACTTC